AATTGTTTGATAAGTAACTGGGTGCAGCAATAAATTTTTCATCAAGAGTTTTAATTTTCCAAAGATTTGCAAGTTACAGCAGTTCAGGACTGTCCCTGTAACATTGAATGCGTGCTCTGTGAAGGTTCTGCTACTGGTAAGCAGACCATAACTACTTGAGGAAAAATACCCGTTTTGATGGCTAAGATCACGTAATTCAATGAAGCATATTGTGTGACCGTGCTCAAAGACACACAAAATAATGTATCTCAGCTAAAAAAAAGAATCTGACTTTTACCTTCTGGCGTGCTATAGCTGCTACAGGCTATAGCTGCAGTCTGCACTCCCATTCAGAAATGTGGTTAGTTTTCTGTCTTGGTCAATATTTGTGTAAGGTGGACTGATTTTTGCCTTTACTGAGCAGGGATGATATGGGATGAGTTAGGACTTCTTTATAGGCCCTCCTAACCACTGAAACCTAGTAACAGGAGAAACTGGGAAAAGAAGTGAAATCCAAGTGCTCGGGAGGAGAACATATGCTTAAGAGGAGTTTGCACTGGTTCAGACAGCTGGTAGTAGCTGATGCAGTTTTAAGCAACACTCAGTGCTGTTTATGTAACCTGTATTTTGCTTTGTGGATTTCCTCTATACATATTTTTAAAGAACTTTAGCATATGCAGATGTTTGCAGATTGTTGATTTTAAACATATGTAGTCCCTCGATAATGAAATTGTTTATTTTAACAGTTTAACGTAAGTTTTGGGTTTGCTTAATTTGTATTTTACTTTATAATCTATCATGAGGATAATTTCTAAAATTAATTCCCCTAATTGACTTCCCATTGTGGTAGTGATTTGTGCAGCCTTTCATTTTAATGAAAAACTTGAAGCCAGCTGTTTTCTACTGCCAAAGAGAAGGCAGGAAACTAGGAAGAATTGAGACAGAATTGAGCAAATCTGTTGTTAAAACTGAAAGTCCTTGCTTTCTTGTTCCTTGCTTTTGGTTTGGTTTTTTTTTTTTTTTTGGTTTTGGTTTTTTTTTTTTCATATTCCTTTGGGATCATCTGAAGTTCAAACACACTCCTTACTGCCTGGCTATGGGCCTCATTATTCTGTTTAGTGACAGATTCTTCTTTACAGACACTTGTGTTATCAGGGCTCTGAGCAGTTCATGGCAGGTTGTCTTTGCATAGCCTTTAAGTGTTTTAGAGGGATGTTTTTGGTTTTTGTTTAAAAAACAAAAAAGAAGGCAGGGGAAAGCTGAGTTATATTCTCCCATTACCATGGTTTTAAAGGTGATCATACAGGTGGAAATGCAGTGCTTTGTTGTGTCACAACATTCAGAGTCATCTCAATAGATCATCCAGTTGGTACTAAGGGTGTTCAGTTAAAAGTGGAATTTTTAATCTTTTTGCTGTGTTATTAGAACAAAATGACAGGCTTCACTAACCTCAGCAACTTCATCTCAGCTAGCTTTCACCTCTGTTAAGGTGAAATCTCTGTCTTTTAACACAGAGCGTGCTCTGTTTCTGCTGTGAGAGGTGGCTGCTTCTTCACTCTGCTGTCCCTCAGCCTTGGAAAGAGAAGACAATACAGAGGAAAACTTATGTTCTGTATGGATGTATATATACATATATATATTTTAAAAAAAATACATATGTGTACATACACACACAGATACACATATATATGTATAGTAAATATAAATTTTAAAAAAACCCTCATTCCAACATGCTGCTTCAAGATATTGCTTTCTTGTAGCAAGGAACTATCACTTTTTTTAGTGGTTTGATTGCAACTTCTATTTCTGGAGAATTATAAGGAAAGAATTAGAGACAGGGCAAGGTATCTTGTCATTCAAACTATAAAGCAGTGTGGAAACTATTTAAGGCAAGTGTCTTCATTTACTTCTTAGCTGGTAATATTTCTGCTTTACTGGTATATAACTTAAACCAGACTTTTCTGTTTTATAGGAGTAAGAATATCTTGAAATGAAGTTTTAAAATATTTTATTTTACTGTTGTCTGTGTTTCTGGTACGTGGTCTTGATCTGCTTGTTAGGATTTTTCTAGTGATGCTAGTGGGCGAATTGTGTATAGATTTCAGTCATCTTGATTCGTAAATGTAGCTTTAGACATTTGTGCAATCTTATTGAAACCAATGGGACTGCTTATCAATGTGTAAGATGAAGCGTGGATACAATCCTTGCAGAATCAGTGTGTGTTTGATGATGTTTTCAACTCAGGAATACTTTTGAAAAATATTCCTGATACAGTTGACTATGTGACCATTGTCACACAGAGTCAGGCATTCTTGGTGTTAAAGCATGGGTTTGCGTCTGATTCTTGGCTTGTCTTTTTCAAAAAAAAAGTTATTTTGACAACCATGTTATCACAGGAGTGAAATAATGCTTCAAACATACTTGAAATGCAGCAGAAGCATAAGACACATTGAAGAAGGGAAAAAAGCTAGAGCTTAAAAGATGGAGAGGAGGGGAGTTTAAGATAGGATAAGACTAGTAATTTTCTTTGAAAGTAATCATATTTGTCATCTACCCTTCAATATTTAGGTATTTCCTGTTTGTTGCTCTTTCATTAACCTTCCATTTCCTCTATCCTTAGTGCTGCAATTTTAGATCACCACATGCACTCTTAAAGGATGGTTCCTTATACACGATGTTACTACTTCTAATCTGACCTGTTTCACAGGAAATGGAAGTGACATGCATTTAAAATGCCATATAAAAAGTGAATTTTCAATGGTTTTCTTAAAAAAAAAAACCCTATAAATAACTAATACTGTAAAAAGTTCACTTTATTTTTATTGCTCTTAGTGGGAAATGTAGGCGACTTGAAAAAAGTCCGTTGTAGAAAGAAACATGGCAGAAATGCACACCATGTTTAAGAACAGAAAGTTAATTCTTCTGATTCACTTTGATGGTGTGAATGTGTTTTGTTACAAGCAGTCATGTCGCAAGGATCCAGTTGTCCAAAACACATTACAATGTTAGATCAACCCCATTAAAAAAATGTAAACCTGAGTCTGTAAAGATGCATTATTAGGCAGAATTATTGGAATTCAGTTAATGTTGAGTAGGATGTCTGATCTAGTCTCATTTGTTTTCTGCTAATAATGGCTCAATTTCTGTGACAGCTTTTCTCATCTGTTAATATTATCTGTGCCATTTCTTGCCATTTTTATGGTTATCATTAGAGAGATCTGAACACTTCGTTTGTGTTTTGAAGTAACATGCTGTTTGTGCAAATATACTAAAAAGGACCCAATGGACCATCCAGAATGCTGCTTACTTGGTTTAAATATTTAAAGAGTTCGTTGTTTGAAAAAGGAGTCCGGGGACAGATGAAGCAATATGAGAGCTTCTCATTGTCTAAATAGTACATAATTTGCTAAACTGCTAAATATTTTGCGTCCTTAGAGGTTATCATGTCTTACGTCCCTTCTACCCTTTCCTGTTCTTCTTTCTCTTTTCAGCCTTGTGATTTAAATATTGAATATAGTAATATTTTAAGTTAACAAGTATAGATGGAATTTAGGGATATTACAAGTGGGTAACTGATGTCTGATATGTGACATTTGCAGTACAGAAAAGTATTTTAAATGGACAGATCTCAGAAACATTTCTTCACTATCTAAAATGTTTTAGTATACAGTGCTTTCAGATGTACCCTGGAGACAGATGTGAACAGTTTTTCAACACTAAATATTTTAAAGCCACAAATTATGTAGGCAACTCAATAAATGCATCAGTAATCTTTGTTTTCCAATCTCTTTTGAAAAATTTGCCCTTGATGTATCAGAGTCGCTTTGAAAAGATGGGAATGCGATCTTTAATCTTTTAGAGTATCTGTAGAACTGAGGAAACCCTTGTCCATGTTTGATGTCTTAGAACTACTTGGGCTGAAACAGAAAAGTTAACAGTTAGAGCTGTGTATCTTCAGTGGAATTATAAGATGAAACTGAAGTGTTTGATATCCTGGCATTTTTTGAACTTTGGAAGAAAAATTCAGTGTTAGAACGTGTTAATAACACAGAGGAAGCTACCTTGTTACTGTAACAAGTTATTTTTAAACTCCAAGAACTTTTGTATGTCAGATAGACAGCAAATAGCTATTCCATTTGTGAAAGCCCTCCTAGTGTGCTAGCCAAACTTTTATTCAGAAGCACTTCTCATTTAGTAGCAAGTTGGTTCTCACTTATAGCAACCTTCCTTCAACAGTCAGACCTTTTACCTTGTGCTTTTTTTACCATGCAAATTGCAAGCAGTAATTATCTGTAAAAGAACCTGTTGTCAACTGAAGGGAATTCAAGTGCTGCCAGAAGCTGCAGGTTTAAAACTTAGATGGGCGCTTTTCCTGAGATAGAGTTGTCTGGTGGATGGCTGATGGGATGTGAGTTTTTGTTTTTCTTAGTTTCAGACACTTATACAGAGCAATATTACAGTACTTGTCAGCAGATCTTCACTGGTTAAATGAATTTAGAATTATCTTTCAGGGCTCTTTCCTGTGGGAGAAAAGATTAGATGCTGTAAATTCAGGTAAAACTATTGAGTTTTCATAGGTGAGTGAGTGTAATATATATTAGGGAAGCAGTAGACATAACCATTCTTTAAAAATATGTATGTGTGTATGTCTATAGATTGAGAAAGGGAAATTTAAGGGATTTTTGGTTGTTTGAAGAACACAGATAAGATCCTCTGAAGTAATCAATGAATGTACTTGTGTGGGGTTACATTGTTTTAGGAACATAGACCTAAGTTATTCTGCCCCGTTGCTGTGTACTCTCCTGTTTTATTTGCATGTAATTGAAAATAAGAGGTAGGAAAATGGATGTCTGGGAAAATAGCTTTCACTGTGTTCCTGCACTGTTTTACAAGAGTGATGTCCTTCACAGATAGCTTGTTGCTTGCTTTTAAATCATTGATTTCTTAAAAAAAATTCTTTTTTTTTTTTGTTTGGGTTTTGTTTTTTGTGGGTTTTTTTTGTTTTTTGGTTTTTTTTTTAGGTAGAGATAACAGATACTGAAAATGAAGAAAAAAGATATGATCTCTTCCTGGGACTTCTGGAGTCTAGTCACAGTTTGTCTGAGTTTCAGCACTTGGTTTTACTCCTTCAAGCTTGGCCACCAATGGACATGAGCAAGAGGTAAGCATGTCTTCAAACAGCCACGTAGCACAAGGGTTCCAAGTCTTCCTGCTTGATAATATCATGTTGAATTTTATTAATTTGAATTTTCAGTGGGTGAGGAATTGGTTGGATGGTTGCATCCAGAGGGTAGTGGTCAACAGCTCAATGTCCAGATGGAGATCAGTGGCAACTGATGTCCCTCAGGGGTCTTTTTGGGACCAGTGCTGTTTAATATCTTCATCAATGACATAGACAGTGGTATCGAGTGCACCCTCAGCAAGTTTGCAGATGACACCAAGCTGAGTGGTGAGGTTGACAAATGTGAGGGATGGGATGCCATCCAGGGGGACCTGGACAAGCTTGAGGAGTGGGCCTGTGTGAACCTCATGAGGTTCAACAAAGCCCAAGTGCAAGATCCTGCACCTGGGTCATGCCAATCCCCGGTATCAGTACAGGCTGGGGGATGAAGGGATTGAGAACAGCCCTGCTGAGAAGGACTTGAGGGTACTGGTGGATGAAATGCTGGACATGAACCAGCAATGTTAGCTTGCAGCACAGAAAGCCAGTTGTATCCTGGGCTGCATCAGAAGAAGTGGGGCCAGCAGGTCGAGGAAGGTGATTCTCGCCCTCTGTTCTGCTCTGGTGAGACCCCACCTGGAGTACTGTGTTCAGCTCTGGGGCCCCCAGACCAAGAAAGACATGGACCTGCTTGAGCAGGTCCAGAGGAGGGCCACAAAAATGATCAGGGGGCTGGAGCACCTCCCCTATGAGGACAGGCTGAGAGAATTGGGGTTGTTCAGCCTGGAGAAGAGAAGGCTCCGGGGAGACCTTATTGCAGCCTTTCAGTACTAAAGGGGGCCTGTAAGAGTGATGGGGACAATTTTTTTAGGGCCTGTTGTGGTAGGACAAGGAGTAATGCTTTTAAACTAAAGGAGGGTAGATTTAGGCTAGATATAAAGAAGAAATTTTTTACACTGAGGGTGGCGAAACACTGGAACAGATTGCCCAGAGAAGTGGTAGAAGCCCCATCCCTGGAAACTTTCAAGGCCAGGCTGGACAGGGGTCTGAGCAGCCTGATCTAGTTGAAGATGTCCCTGTTCACTGCAGGGGGCTTGGACTAGATGACCTTTAAAGGTCCCTTCCAACCCAAACTATTCTGTGATACTATAATTAAGATTTTTGTTTAATCTTTACTTGTTTTTTCCTTCTCTGCTTCAGAAAAGGGTTGTTGTTGCCAACTGATTGTTTATTGTTGCTAACTGATTATTTACTGCCAATGTAATGATATATGCAGGAACTGGGGAATTTAAGTCTGAGTCATCTGAATAGTTAGAATTTTGGTTTTCAACCTAAAAATAAATATTTAATACAAAGCTAGAAAATACAATTTACATTCTATAAAGGCTCAAAAGGAAGGAGAAGTAAAGGAACTGAAATTTGGGGTGGTTTTTAGTAGCCTTTTATTTTTATTTTTGAACTTTTGTGACATCTCTGTTACTAAGTCCATGCTTTCTAACGATTTTTTTTTTTTTTGAGTTCTTGTAGTCTAAAACACTTCAGCTACAATAATGCTCATTATTCATCTGCTCATATGATTCTATCCATATCACAATATGCCATGTTGTCTGTGAGGAAACAGAGAGGTAGCTTGGTTGTTTCAGTGAGCACTCAAAACCATACACTTTTTAAAATTTTATTTTCAACACCCTTGTTATGCATGCATGCTTTTCTGCTTAGGTTTCTCATATTCAGATGTCATTTTAAGCATTTCATAAAGGTGTTTTTAAAAAAATTTATTGACAGTACCTGAAGCTCTGTGATCCTTTGGAACTTGCTGCCTACATTCAAAAGGCATTTTTTATATTTATCTTAAATATTGATAAGGTGTTTTGGAACTCAAAAAGACCAGCTTCTAGGGACTCAATAGCTTTCATTCACTTTTCTTTCTTTAACTTAATCCAAAATTTCTGTCTTTTGTTTCTGGCCAGGAAAAAAAAAAAAAAACATGTTCATGGTGAGTTTTTGAAATAATTACTTTTTTCACCTTGAGAAATAACTTTTTTTAAACATAGTTGAACTAAGGTAAAATTAAGGCAAGAAGAAAACTAAATTCTACCTGTAGGTGTCAGATTTTTTGGTAACTGAATCTTGCTTTTATTTAGAAATAATGGATATTTGTTAATAGATCACACAAGTATTTGAAATAATTATAAGGAATTATGTTGAGAAAAGCTTTGTATATGTAAAGTATATATCTGATACTTAAATAAATAAACATGCGCATGGCAAGCCTTGCATCTTACTGGTTATTTCTACCTTCTGTGTTTTGTAGTGTGATTTTTTTGATTTCTTTTTCTAATGGGAGATTCTTATAGGTTTTCTTAATGTACTCTGGAGGCAGCAGCTATAAAAATGGAAACTCATTATGACTCTCCGTGCCTCTAAGCAAGAGATGGATCACAGGGCAGAAGTTATCAATTTAACCAGTGGCAAAGATGGAGCTGCAGGGTTTTTTCTTTTTTTTCTTCTCCTAACCTTGCTGGGTGTTCACAGATTAAGTGCATCATGTTCTGCTTGTTGAATAAGCTGACATCTTTGGGTTCAACCCATCAGGTTGGAAGGAGGGAGAGGAGAGGAGGAGCAATGCTGTCCCCAGCCAGTCTTGTGGCAGCTTGATGCTCAGGGACTGTGACTGATGGAAAGGCTCAATTAAGTTGTCAGAAGGAATAAAGATAATCATTTCTGTTTAGTTTGCATTCAAAAGTTACCCACTCCTAGCATCTCTGTCTGATTTTCATATCAGGGTATAATGTTGGCTTCATGTGGACCTGGTTTTATTTGTTTACAGTATGTACTTTTGGAAGTGAAAGGTAAGCGTGAGAGAGCTTTTAGATATGAAATAGCAGATGTTGGTGGTTGTCCTCTCCAGAGTTGTCAAACCGATTCCTTGGTATGTCAGTCCAACAGACTCTCTTAATGGACTCCATTTACAGTGATACTAATGTGTTACTTTGAACATTTGCTGCTAAATAATATCTTTGAAATGCAGCACTTTGACAGCACTTTAGTGCTTCTTCCCACAGGTGCTGGATGAGGTTCTTAATTTACACTAAATTGTAAGACCAACCTGTGAGATTTGGTCTTGCTGTGGGTTTTTTTTTCTTTTCTTCCTTCAAGCTAAAGTGAAAAGTTTCCTGTATCTTTGTGATGCTGATTAATGGCCACAGAGATTAACGGGTGATTTTTAAACCACCTAAACTTCCTAAGTTTATGCACAGGTGAACATAGTGGCTGTGTTACTGTGGCTTAATATAATCATGATCTAAGCTGTGATTGTGCATGATTTTAGCCCACTGTAGATGGGAATTGAAATGCATTAACTTAATTCACATTAGGAAAACAGCAGTGTGGCTGTGTTCCAGCATCACACTTCATGCTATCATTTAAAAGCTCTGGTCTGCTACCCATTTCTGTCAGTACAACCAGTCCTAGCAAGTACACCTGTCTGTAACAAAAGTAGCCACGCATCTCCATGATCTAGCAAATAGAGGCTATAGGCCAAGAAATGTTCCAGCAACAATACTTTATAGTAAGCATTGCCTTTGCCATCATGTGCGATAAAATTTACTCATATCTACTGTCTGCCATCTCTTTAAGCCTGACTGTGCAATGGTGACATGGCATGAAGTTCTGTGTGGAATGAAAAGAACATTTTAAATATGTAAAAGAATCTGTCTACATCTGTATCTACTAATGGACAAGTACAGATGTACTTTCACTCTCCTACCCTGTTAGGATGGGCTATAGAAAAGTTTATTTTTCTTTGTGCTTGTTGGAATTGAAAATTAAAATGTGAATCTTGGAAGTATTTTTTCCGCTCAGAAGCAAGAGACAGATACTTGAGAGACAGATGCTGTTAGAATGTGATCAAAGCAAACAAAATTAGGAATGCTGGATTCCTGTCACCCCTCCCTTGATACTATTCTGCTTGGGAAATCAGCTGGTGTAAAGCCAGGAGAAGAGATTCCTATGCTATTCCAATTTGATCGATCTTTAACTGATGCGTGATTCTGCAGGGATTATAACAGCATGTCATAATTCAAAATACTTTAAAACTTCAGGATAGTAACGTGTCTCAAAACTTCTTCCTCTTTCATAAGATTGTACTTTAATTCACAAACACACACACACACACACCCCCAACCCAACCCAAAAAGAAAAAACCCAACAAAAAAACCCACCTCACCTAAAGCACCTACAGAAAATGGTGGGGGTGTATGTATATTTATATTCTATTACTGTCTTTTGTTTGTTTTTTTCTGGGCAGATCGTGCACAGATGATAATCCCTGGGTGAAACTGGGGACTGTTATGCTACAGAGATGCCCACCTGAGGAAAAGGAGAGCACAGGAAATGAAATTTTGAAAATCTGCCGTTCTTTGTATGAGACAAAGCACATGCTCCCTGTCGAGGTAAGTTTTAACTTTGGGTATCATGGATAGGAGTCCTGTTTCAGGGTCCCAACTACAAGAAACATGTTGCCATACTGAATCAAGTCCGATGGAGAACTAACAAGATGATTAGGGGGATTGAGCACAATAAATGCAGAGATGCTGAGAGAACTGTGTTCATTCTGTCTTGAGAAGAGATGGCTGAGGAGATCATATTGCTGTCTTTAAATATGCGGATGAGGAAACATGTAGAGGAGATGGAGCCAGCCTCTTCTCAAATATGCTCAGTGATAGGACAAGAGGCAATAGAGGCAAGTTACAGCATGAAAAACTGTCATTACATACAAGGAAAACGTTTTTCACCGTTGAAGTGGTGAAACATTAGAACAGGTGGGTGCCTAGAAGACACATGGAGTCTCTGTTCTTGGAGGTATTCAGAACTTACTGGATCACATCATGGGCAATTTGATCTTGTTGGACTTGCTTTGAGTGGAGGCCAGTTGGATTAGCTGACCCTTAGAGTTGTGTTCCAGTATAAATTATTCTTTGACATATTTGTAGAAAGGCTTTAATAGTATATTGTCATTGAAGTAAGTGTGGCAAAAGCTGTTAATTAAATAATCAGTAATTTTCTCACTAATAAATGCATAAAGATTTAGTGAAGAATTCTTGAAAAATGTGTTGGCAATTGAAAAAACCTAATATACAAGTAACTGCTTTGTAATAATTATGATGTTCTGTGTTCCTTAACTATGTATGCATACTTTAATACAAGCATCTCTGAAGTATAAAATTATTGAAGCGTTTTGTACGTAAACATTGTATATTAATGAAGACACATTGGAGAAATGCTTAATAAACTTCACACAGCTTCAGGGTAGTCATGTGCATATTTTTAGTAAGCTGATTAATCCCCTGTAATCATCTTCAAGCAATCACAGTCTGTTACAGAAACAGCTGATGTTAAGACAAAGCAGAATAGAAACAACACATTCTGTTTAAAATATGGACAGGCAGGTGCAGCTTTTGTTGTTGTTGGTTTTGTTTTTTTCTTGTAAGTAGTCCAACAGACTGATTTGACCCAAGTTCAAAATCTATGTAAAACGCGATTCCAGAAGTTGTTGGTATGCTGAAATGATAAATACATTTATTAATTTATTCATCCCACCAAAAATTTTTTGGTAGAACGCAGGTCTCTGTGTCCACAGGACTGGTGTGATTATATGTAGCTTTTCTTCATAAGGTGTTGAGTGACGCATCATAGCTTGTAAACTTATGATCTTATTCATGCATAGGAGTAGTCAAACTTTATCAAAGTAGAATTTTCGACCTCACCTTGGTGATCCAGGAAGACAAATCCTGCCAAGGGTCACTGTCATACAGCAGTCAGGTCACCAAGAGTTCTGCTCAAGAATGGGTCATGATTTACTCATTTGTGTTATGGAGTTCAAAAAACTTTTACTCAATTAACAAGTCTCTATTTGCAGACAGTTTTGGTATTAGTTGGCAGCTGTGGTTGGAGGTGCCTTCCTTTTTTAATGGTACAGGATGTGGGAAGAGCCCTCCATGTAGTTGTGAATACACAGGTACAGTATGAAAATATTCTAGTCCTCAAGCATAAAATGAGGCTTTGCCCCAATGCAAAATACCTTTTTCATGGCTAGAATGCTGTACAGCAACAGGAATTGCACTAAAATGTGTAATTGTTCAGTTACTTACAAACAGAGGCTGTAGTACTTTAAGTTTCTACTTGGGAAGAGGGGGAATGACATCAATAAATTTAAGTAACTTATTTAAATACTTAAGGGCACAAATTACAGAGTTGAGCTCACGTGGCTGAATAAGATGAAAATGTGATTACTGACAACCTGTTTAGAAGACTTCACATTTCAGTAAATACACTGGTTAGGGAGACAGACCTAAAATGATGGAATTTTAAAAACTGAGAGATCAATTTATCACCATGAATAACATTTGCCATTCTGAAGTCCAAAGGCTGTGACGGAAGAAAACATTTAACTTCAAGTCGTGATGGTCTAGAAGTTAGAAAAACTGTTTCTTTGGATATAATCAGAAAGGTTTCCATTTTCCTTTATTCTGCCTCCTGCTGGTCCTTCTGGTTTTTTACAGCCAAGTTCGGTTTTTTGTTTTTTTTTTTTTTTTTTAAAATGTGTTTTGGAGAGTTGCATAACTTTAATCTTTGTATCTGCGTGTGTGTGTGTAGTTGGATTTTTTTCTTTATTTACATTATTCAGTGGATAGATTTTTTCCATTCCTCTTATAAGCATTGTTTTATTTGCTTGGAAGGCACATGTGTTTGGACTGTCTGACATCTGCACTGCCTGATTAATCTCTTTAGAAAGGGGCAAATCCTTCTCCCTCCAGTAATTGTTAAAGTGTGACACTGATGCATATCTCATGTTTTTTTATCAGCCTATGGGTCATGTGTTAGTTAACATAAACACCCAAGTGAGAGAATGCATCTAGTCTCTTATCTGTAATCACCCTGGGGTACTAGTGACCATAAAATGCTTATCTCCTAGAATGATATAGCAGCCAATCGGTCTCCTTTTTTCTGTTTTTGTAGCTAGTTGTTCCTGGTTTTTATATATGAGGGGTCATGAAGATGATCAAGGGCTGGAGCATGTCCCATATGAGGACAGGCTGAGAGAGTTGAGGTTGTTCAGCCTGGAGAAGAGAAGGCTCCGGGGAGACCTTACAGCAGCCTTCCAGTACCTGAAGGAGGCCTGCAGGAAAGGTGGGGAGGGACTCCTGATCAGGGAGGGTAGTGATAGGATGAGGGGTAATGGCTTTAAACTGAAAGATGGGAGTTTTAGATTAGATATTAGGAAGAAATTATTTCCTGTGAGGGTGGTGAGGCACTGGCACAGGTTGCCCAGAGAAGCTGTGGCTGCCCCCTCCCTGGCAGTGTTCAAGGCCAGGCTGGATGGGGCTTGGAGCAACCAGGTCTAGTGGGAGGTGTCCCTGCCCATGGCAGGGGGGTTGGAACTAGGTGATCTTTAATATCCCTTCCAACCCAGACCTTTCTATGAGTTTACATTGTATGTTTTTCTTCAAAGTTGTGTCTGATCATTTTGCTCAGATAATTTTGAATTTAAATGCTGTCCTTCAGTCTGCTTTCAGCCTTTCCAGACACAATACTGTTTGTGTTCATTATCCAGCCTTTCAAGCCATCCATGAAAATACTGAATAATACAAAACAGATTCCTACAAAATCTGGCTTATATGCCTCCCTGGTGTCACACTGATCCTCGACAGCTGTATAACTAGATAGAAGATAAAAGTTACCTTACAAAAGTTTCAGTTAAATCATGGCAATCCAAATTTTGAATTAGGACTTCACCTGTCCCTCTCTCAGGTAGCATCATATCCCTTCTAAGCACAGCCTCTCACTGCAGGCAGGCAGACACTCAAATGCTTTTGAGTGCTTGTTGCGGAAAAGAAAGCCACTTGGGATGCTCTGAGAAGTGCTGTGGGTGGTGGCTTGCTGCTTAGGGTTGGATTTCCAATTCCTGTCCAGAGCAGTAGTGCCGTCATTTGTGGCAGAGATACAAGGAGATATTTGTACTATTTGGACAGTCTCCAGTGCTTCTCAAGTTGTCCAGTCCCTTTCTGTGGAAAAAAAGGATGGAGGCCACTCCAGGGGTCTGCAAGTTGGACCACGCTATCCTACACCTTATTTCCCAGGTGCAGAGGACAGTGAGTGTTTCATGTGACACTCTCTAAGTCTTGCTGAAGTCAAAATATGCCATAGTGATGGCCTTATCCCTAACTACAGAACCTGTTGCATGGCCATGTGGGAATGTACTTACATACATATTTTTTTGTGTTTGTTTTTTTTCATTTTATATTTTGATGATTTTCATGAACTGGGAGTGTCTGGTAGATCTACAATCTCTTTTCCCTTTGCGTGCCTGCTTTCTTCCATGTCTGAAAGACAGACTGTATTTCTCTTCCAGTCTGTTGAAAACTGTTATGTTGTCAAGGATGATGTCACTTAACTTGCAATATTATTTCTTTAGGTGTTTGGAGGTGAATTTTTCAGCCCCAGAAACACGGTTTTTTGTTCCAGACTGAATTTTCAATGCTGAACTCTCACCTATTATTGTTGTCAACTGTTAGCTGTTCGTTTGCCTGCGATCCTTTAATAAGAACTATGCAAAATAGATATTTAACGCTTTGCTTTTCTTGGCTTTTTGTTACTGGTTTTTTCGTATCAGGATGTCATTAATCATGATACAGTGTCATAAGGAAAACATACAGTGCAGTCTTACCTTATAAGAGATACCAAGGGAAGAAGAGTGGGTAAGAAGTACCCTTCTCCATAAGCCATTAGTGAGACTGGCTTTAAAATAAAATACCGTTATTATGGCTGCATTTTAAGAGGACACTGAAAAATGAGGGGCAAAAGAGAGAACCTGCAAAAATTAGTGCACGGATGAAAATATCTTGAAGTGGAAGACTGAAGGAGTGCAGTGTATTATCAGGGGTCGAGAGGTGATTGATTGTATTCTGCAGATATTTTTAGATGGAACACAAGCTAATAAAAGTCTCTCAATTTACGAGGAGAGGCATAACAAGAACCAATAGAGTTTAATTTATACCATTTCAAATTTTAGCATAAGGCATGATAATTTGTCAGTAAATTTAATTGTTGGAATGTATATTTCTCCTTCAAGAGAGATGATGGATTCTCTATACTCAAACATTTTTGTAGGTAAGACTTGATATGTCTGCTAGACATGATATTGTCAGGCACAAAGTTACTCAGGTCATCTGACTGGTACCTACCTTAAATCTGATGACCTTTGGCTTAAAAATCTGCTATTGTAAGATAAACAGAAGTTGATTGGATAGCTAAGCAAGTGTTTTCTTATGGGGAAGCCTTTATGCCTCTGTGATGAACAAGGCAGATTGAGTTAGAACCTGTCCCATTAGAATGTGTAACCAATACTAGAGTATAATTTTGAAGTATCTACACAGAAAAAAAAATGCTGGCATATCATTCAAGTTAAATGTTATTGCTTTGAAAATAGCAATGTTAATGTCTGTATTACTGCATTTGCTTGCTGAGAGATTTTTCTTTATTTTAAAGCAGCTCATTGAGACAGCAGACTCTGATGCAACATCTGCATCTTTTCTCTCCCTGCCTTGTTGCTTTTACAGTACCTAGTTATATTTTACAATTTGCTTAGTTTCCTTTTCTTCCTCCAACAGCCCAAAAATATGATTTGGAGTTCTTTTAGAGAGCCTTTTTATAGTTATTTCTTATGGCACTGCTTCTCCGGTTAGTTTTGAGAGGCTCTCAGACAGAAAAAGTTACCAAGCATGGTAAAATTGTTGGGTTTTTTAGGTGATGTATCTTAATGACTCTCTGAATTTATTTTTGTGTACATAAGTTGTAGTTATGTCTGTGGATACACGTTTTCAAGAAAAGGTGACATGTAGAGTGAATCTCTAATTTTACATTCAGTAAGTTTGCTGGAATGATTACGTATACAGGTCAAAAGAAATAGAACAGAATACGAAATTATCAGAAGTTTAATAAGCCTATGACTGATCATACTGATCAGCTTAATGTAGTTATTTAATCTCCTTATTCCTTGATCCTGTGTCATGCCTTTCACTGAAAACATCAACAATCAATAGCAGTACAGAATACAATTTTAAAGGAAAAAGTCTGGGTAAGACAACAAGCCTTGCCTCAGTGACTCAGAGCTCAGTGTGATAGAATGCATCCTTCTGGGCGGTGAATTTGTATCTTGATACAAGTTCAGAAGAGACTGAGCAATGTGTAGCCAGAGAGCTCCCTGTGCCAAGCAAGGCCAGGTGTCTCTGCAGTACATTATAGTTGGAGCATTTATCATCTCTTCATCTTCAAATAATTTTTAGGCTTTTAGGTTCTCAGCTGCTAAAAGTGTGGTTGCATGTTGGTCATCAAATGGTTACACCTGTCATTAAACAGCAAAAAATGTAAAAAATGTATGACTTACATTCTCTCAGCTTAATGTTTAGCTTATAAACTTCTTCAACAATTGCTGTCTAAATGTTGAAGTGAGACAGAGAGCACCTCTTAAGAGCTGGATACCATTTTCAAGGTGACTACCATACAATATCAAAAGCACTTAGTGTAAGTTGTCCTGGAATATGGGATGGGCCTCGTTGGGAAGTGCTTGTGACAAACGACCCAAATTCTTGGACATGACAAAAAGGGAAAGGGAAGTTGTAATTTGATTTATAACATAAATTGTTACTCAAAATACATTTTGATGTATAAATGAATAAATCACTACACACTGCAAAGTTGAAGGGGAAACCCCCCCCCCTACCCCAGAAGTTACATGTAGGATGTTTTGTTTGGTTGTTTCAACTAAAGGCCAAGGTAGAGATTTAGAAATGCACAGTAGGTTTGTTCTTGGGGTTTTTGGGGGGTTTTTTGTTTTCTTTTTTTTTGGGAGGGGGAGTGTTAAAGATATTTCTTTGGCCAATTTCTTCTTGCAGAAGGTTTATGATTCTATATTATTAAAAATTACGAGAAATTAGGTGAACAAGGGAAAGTGAAGTTACTAAGCTTTAATTGTGTATAAAAAAACTTGTAGAAAATTTGGAAAGATTTTGCAACAGAACTTTATGATGTCAAACTATGGTATGTACTATTATTTCCCCTTTATTTTGTTCCACTTTTATGATTGCGTGATTGAGTTACAGAAATGTCACAGGTGTCTGTTAATTTTCCTCCTATGCTTTGCAGTATTTCAGTAAGCACAAATATATTAGTCCCCCAGAGAGCTGTGATTGCTCTGTTCCTTCAGTAAAACTCTGGGTTGTAATGGTGATTCAGTACCTGCCTTGTCTTAATATAACAAACATTGCACTTACAACCCTGTATTCCACATTTTTTTTAAATTTATCCTTTCAAGTTTCTGAAGAGTTATTTCCAACAGGGAGTTCATTTGTTGCGGATGTTTGGTTTTCATTTTGCATTTGACATAGAATTTTCATAAATTTTAGTGTGAATGATGATGTTAGTATCTCCAGAGATCTCACCAAATGTGTTTACTTTTATTTTCAGTGTATAAAAGAATTATGTTTGCTGCTGCTTAACCAGTCTCTCCTGCTGCCATCCCTGAAACTGTTAGTAGAAAGCAAAGATCAAGATCTTCAAGCTGTGGCACTGGAGCAGATAACAGCTGTTCCTAAGGTATGAACAGCTGAATTAACCACCTTTCAGAGTTTGTAATAAATTAGCCCTTTTATCTTCATACAGTAGCAGAGACTGTTGAGACCCTTATCATTATTAAGATTTTCCACAGCTATTGTGTCTACAGTGAGCAGTGACACAAGGCTAGTAAGATCTTTTATATACTCTAGAGGTGATTAAAACTCTTATCACTTTCTTTAAGTTATCTAGTATGCTATTTTAAGTCAGTGTGGTGGAACAGAAACTGTTCTGTTATATCAAGTAGATTGTTATCTCTGTGTTCATATTCTAGCACTTAGGGGTTTTTTTTAAGTTATAATAGTACATCAGATGAGTTAGCTTGTTTCTGACAAGCTTAGCAGTCTGTTTATATACACATGGAGAGCTTTTACATCACTGGTTCTGTTGTAGAAAGGTTAAAATGCAAGATGGTATGTTTGGGGACTTTCATGCAATTCTAAACAGGTTTTATTTGATACTGCAGCAAAGTTTCTGGAGAAAAAAACCTAGATACTGTCTTTTTTTCTTTGGACAAGAACAGAAAGACATTACTGTGTATTTTTCAGTTCTTATATAAAGTTACATGACTCTCTTTTCCTGTGTATTTGCTTTTCAGTTAAGAAGGAACACCTAAAAAGATGAAAGCTAGTCTCCTAGACAAATCATGATATTGCCTTTTATCTTTTTTTTCTGAAAACTGAGGTGGATTTAAAACTTCTTCAAGCTCTTAATTGCACTTGTGTATGTACAACCTGACTTGCTTGGATTTTATGTTAGCTATGGTCTACGATCTAGCACTGTACCACGGAAGAGAAGGGAGGTGTAGTCTCGGACCTTTATATGAAAAAGAATGGTTTTCCTTTCTGGCTGAATTAACAGCATTGAGTGTCTCCAGAATTCTAATTATTTAGGTAGGAAAACCACATCTCTAATATTTCCAAATTCTGCTCCATATCTTAGGAAGCTCTTGGTTGTGTATTACAGTATAAAATAGTAATTGATGGTAAATTTCCCATATGCTACTTCAAAATGAAACAGAATGCAACTGTGTATATCTTTTTAAAATGAGCATCCATAAAAGCTTTAAAAATGTGATTTGTAGGAATTCACGTTGAAATTATAACTTTCGAGACACATGAAGTAGGCAAACATTCCCCTGTTTCTGCAGGAGCCTTCTAGGGCAGGCTTTCTGCTCTAATTATATTAATTACCACAAGTTTTTCAGATTCTTTGGTTGCAGCAAACGGTGCAATCCCATCCCCTACTTTCCTAGGGAACAGAGGATAATGTGAAAGATATTCTGCATCCTGCTTTTCCCAGGTTTCTCCCTTAAGTCTGTCCTCCTCACTTATTTCTGCTCATGTGCTGTGTCTTTCCTGTTTATGCTGCACATTGTATTCCGGAAGCCTTCTCTTTTTGTATCCATTGCATAGATTGAGAAAGGATTTATCTCCTTCACAGCAGTGAAGACCCGTCAGAGAAGCAAGAGACCTGGAAGCACAGGCTCCATCTCAGATGTTGAAGCTCATTTTGCCTCAAAAAGACTTTGTTGCCAAAATGGATGAAACACCAGCTTTTTTTAACCTGTTCTCTATGAACATTTAGAATGGTAGCATGAAAGGGGGCAGGGCATATTATATGTAATACACATCTGCTTGTATCAAAATTCCAATGCCATATTTAGCATCCAGTTTGAATTTGAAGTATTTCCTAGTTAAGTTTGGCATTCTAAGCAAAGAACCGTAGGTTTTTATGAAGGTGTTCCTATTCCCTTTTCTTTATACAAATAAATCACAAATTTTCTGAATTTTCCACAAAACAATTTTATAAATATCAACCACCAAAACAATAGTAGATTATCTTTAGTATATTGATAGTTTTATTTTACCACCTGCAATCATAGATTTTGTGTCTGCAAAGCAAGGCGCTTTTGTAACTGTTCTTAATAAGAAGGTCTCATTGAAAATCAAGTGGAGAGCTGATGTATGCATGCACTTTCTCATCTATGTGTTCCTGTTAACCTTTTAAAATTGACTTTTTTGTTAACAAATGAAAGCTGCTGTGTAAGTGACTAGCTCTGAATTTTGCCAGCAGGAAGTTGTGTCTAAGTACATTTTATTTAACTATTTTTAAAGCATAATGCTGTGCAGGAGCACTTTCTGAATTGGTTACTAATTGTATTACTCTCTTAACTGGCCTTTTCTTTCTTGTGTGCTATAGCTTTCAATTTTCTACACTCTAGGTTGATCTCATTATGTTGGAGTTCTACGGCCAGGAACCATATTCTCTTCTTACTAATATAAAGCACTTAGTACACCTGTGCATGCCTAAAATAATATTCTTGTTGGCCTTCTTATACAGGAGGCAGCTTGATAAGCTCTTTCTAATTTTCCTTCTAAATTCAGTATTAATTTGAGCACATAGTTCTGTAAGAGTGCTGGATAACCTAGAATTTTCAAAGCATTTAGCTTTGGTCTGATCTTTCATCTTAAGTCAATGAAAATATAACTATTGACTTCATTACATCAGGCATAGAGCTTAGCCAGTACCTTGAATGTGACATTCCTCTGCCAGTGTTAGAAAAGCGACTAGTACAGAAGAGTGCCATGATACATTTAAAAGCTGTTCTTATATTGTTTACAAAAGTATCTCTTATTCCTTGTTTTATGTGCCTCTCTTATGATTGCATTAGTTGGTGTACTAAAAGCGTATGTATCGCTTAGCTACGTCAATGTTGTTTATTCAGTATAATTTTGTATGCGTACTTCTTGCTTTTTAAAATCAGTATTTGGACTGATAATGCTTTTTCTACAATTCTTAATGAATTTTTCATAGGAAGCCCATTTCTGTTTACAATAAACAGGAAAAGGACAAAAAACATCTGGCAAAGGGAAATCATAGCTATTGATTCCCTGACATAGTGCTAACACAGCTCACAAACATGGCTGTGAACAAAATACAGCACTTGCTTGCTGATACGATGTATTAGTTAGCAATTTGTTGTGTCACTGACAGCTTTATGGATGTTTACAGTTAAGGATGATGCTGAAGTGCTGATACTAGGAATTGTATAGCTTTTGCCTGTAATAAACCAAGCAAGATTTTGTGTAAGCTTTTTTGAAATTGCAGACCTCTCTTTTTATTGTGTATCTTCTTATAAACTGCCACTTGTCTTTTTTGGATAGCAGAAATAACTATTCTTCCTCTGTGTTGTGTGGTATGTGAATAATTTTAAAAATCACTTTACTTAAATAAGCTTAATACTGACAGTAGGACTAAGAGTTTGACCTTAAGAGTCAGATTGTTTTTGAGAAGCGTTTCAGTGTGGTTTGTTCACTTGGTTATCTTTCAAAGAGTAAGACTTATTTTTATACTTCTGACAGACCAAGTGAACCCTAGGCTCTATTTGTATACTATACTTTCAATGATGAAGTAGTGAGACTACCTTTGCAACATGATTTATCGAAAAATGTAATATGAAAAATCATAGAGAGTGTGTGAAATAATAGAATTTCGAGTGTTCTCCTGTGTCTTATGCCATTTATGACTACACAATTGTGGCTTACCTTTTAAAAGAAATCTTGTATGTGTATATAAGCTAATGGTGATTATGATAAAATATCTTTCTCTGGTTTATTTTTCTAGGGGTTTTTAATATCTCTCTGTTTTCTGCTCACCTTATTTATTTGTGCTATAGCTATAGACTCCATTAAAGAGTAAAATGAAAAGCATTTTTACCTTTAGTAGTAGTGGAGAACTAATGCTCTGGGAAATAACAGGTTCACTTCTTTTCTGCTCTTACATCATGAGCCAGCTCTTCTCTTTCCATTAGTATCCATGTTTCATAACTCGTGGATTTTATAATGCATAAGTTATGGATGAAATATTTCCTGTTACCAGAACCTCTAGTCACCTGCACAAACAATGCTGACAGGGAATTGCCCAGACCAGGTCTTACCCCTTAGTTAGGCAAAAGATACCACCTGACCTGCTCTTGCTTATCTGAAACTCTCACTACAGGAGAGAGGTTTTTCGTTGTTTTTCAGATACGCCGCATCATAGCTAGTATAGCTAATGTGTCCATGTAGGCTGTATTAGCGGCCAGAAGAAATACTAGATGCTGATATAAGATGTGGCCTTGGTCTTGGAGAGCAGATCCACAAAATCCTTGCACTCATGGTCGCATGAATTTCTGGAGGCCTCGGTAATTTATCAGATTTATCCAGTTCCTCTTCTGAGTACATCAGAAGAGGTGCTGCCTGTGGCAAACCTGATCTTCACCCACCTATTTCACTCACAAGCTTTTTAAAAACTTGCAGGCTCCCTGTGTCTGCTTGCCCAGGGGACCTGCTGCCTTGGTAGAGCTGAGTGCCTCAAGCCTGAGCCCATTTGAGGTTCGTATATAACGTCAGTGTGCTGATGGCAAAGCCCCAGGCAGGCCTGCTTAACCCTTACTAATTATGCACTGACAGCACTCAGTTCAGCGTAAGACATAAATTGCCATTCCGATTCAGAGAGACGGCAGTCAGCGTAGGGGTGAGTACAGGTTGTACAGCTGCTTTGCGTGCGATGATTTGCCAAGGGCATTAGGGAAACAGCTCAAATCCCCCACCCTCTCTAAGAGCAGCACCTCTGTAGTCGGAGATGAGGCTCCTCCCCCTCCCGCTGAAGATACGCAGAAAGTTCAGGACTCGTGGAGACAGAGTGCAAGTGGGTCCTCACTTCTCTACCGGTTGTGGGGAACCTTGCTGAGACGCGGTTTTCCATCTGCAGATGCAGATCCGTTTATAAATTCTGCATTAAAGAGAGATTTGATAAAATGCACAAGCTGCGTTTGAAGCAGAGTGCTTATAGCTCTGCTTCAGTGGAAGCGAGTGCATCTGTTGCAATCCTGTTTCTATACTATCTCGCTTTCTAGATGCATAAGCATCTCTAGCAGGGAAAGATATTGATCATTGCAGTCTGAAGGAGAGAGCTAGTCATCAGAAATACCTCTTGGA